AAGGCATTCCCAGACCTATTACCACCCAATGGCAATGGATGGGAATTGGAAGATGGCTGTCTAAAGCCTGTTTTGATGTCACAAGATGCAGCTCCTGAAGGGTTAGGGAGCTAACAGTTTGCAAATGTCAGAAGTCGGCATGTAAGACTGCTTCCTGTGTATGTAGAAAGAGCAACTTGCCGTACACAGAAGCTTGTGGGTGCATGGCCGATGTATGCGAGAACCCACATACAATACAAACTGTTATAGATGACGTTAGTGACAATGATGAATGAGGAACTTCTATAGGCACATTTTGGAAAGCATGTATATTGAATCTTTTGGTTTTTGTAATCTAAGCAAATATCATTTTGTAAGAAACTGAGGCCATGACCTCCTCTTGGCAAAATGTCAGAAATATAATGATAATAATGATTACAAATGATTACATTACAGCTCTTTGTGTCATTATTTAAAGTAATTCTAAAACTTCCTAATTCCAGTTTCCAAATCAACTGTTGTCGTGGCAACCAATACCATTGGGCTTGTCAAATGATGCTTATTTCATGTTGTTGACGTTGTGTAAATTGGGAACCTTTTGTACGATGCCCGAGGCTAATTACACAAATACATATAACGGTTTTAGATCAAGTCGTTTGTTTACCATAAGTATACCATACCCACACCTCCCCCGACGAATTGTAGGCTGCAAGTCGCTCTGAGTTCCACAATTTATGGAACTATAATACCACTGATGTCTTAGTGTGTGAGAGTGAGAGAGAATTTAATGTAATGTTTCAAACTATGGGGAAAAATAATAGGTCACTCTGCATGGCCCATCAAGGACAGATCTCTTAGTTTCTTGCCATCAAATCAGCCATCATTTATCATTCTTTGCGTCTATTTTGTATTTTTAAGATAAAACGTCAAAAGCTTACCTAAACCTAACATGTCCCTTCTGCTTAATTACAATTTTAGACTTAAAACTTTTGTATTTATCAATTTTGTGACTATTTAAGAAAATGCAGGTGTTTTTCTATTATCCCTTAGCAACCGTTGCCATGGTAACGGTTTCTACAACAAAGATAAATGCAAACGATGTTTCTCCCGAAGTTACATTTTTCCTGCAAATTTCAGTATAATTTGGTTTGATAGTTCCGGAGATATCGCTGGGAACGTTTCTGAGCATGTTTATTTCAGTGGAACGAAAAGCCCCCCCCCCCCCCCACCTAGAAAATTGACGTGTAGCAAGCCACTGAACCCACAATTTGTGGGTTTGACTGACCTACCAATGTTTTATAGGTATCAGCTATCATAAGCAGGGGTCAAACCTTTTGTGTAGTGGGGGTGCTACGTGGTCGAACCAAGAAACCATTTGCTCACGATTTCGCGAGTTGCAAGAAAAAGCACTATTTATTGGTTTGGTGTACAAGCTTACTGATCTGTATTTTTTTATACTTAAAAAAGTTTCACTTGAACAGGCTAAATATAAAACCGCACGTCGTTGAAGCAAGTGCATTTCTCTGCATTGTCTTGTCAGTCATCTTTCGTTGAGAATTTTATGCTTTAACAGGGAACAGGATTTGCTATTTGACACTCGCGTGTGGTGATTTGCACATTGTGTTTATAGAGATTTCCTCGTTTTGCTTGTATAATTCTTTCGGTTTGGGGAAATGCCTTTTTTGTTAATTTCGTTAAAGGTAATTGTGTTGAGTAAAATGTTAGTATTTTATGGTAGCTCCACTTTTAGGCTTGGCTAGGCTATATATTAGATTAGAGCATGGAACTCCATCTTCTGTTTGGTAAAAAAGATTAAATCTAGTTTAAATTTATTCATTTGACAATTTTTTTAACATCCGTTAATTTTCTTGCTTAAATGTTTAATACAAAGGTTGAACAAACTTACTTAATAGGATAAGAAAAAGCTAATCAAAAATCCTAATCCATTTCGCACTGGCAATTTCCTAAGTTCAAACCGGAATTTTGGTAGATTGGAAAGCGCTATTGATAGTTTGAACAACTTTTCTGAAGTTCAAATTTTCGATAAACTTTTAGCCGGACTTGTACTGCATACAAAGCAAACATTGAAGCGTGCTTAGCGTGCGTCCATTCAGCTTTGGATGTAGCTTTAGTCTGGAGAACACCAAAGACGCGTACGAGTTGTTCGATCCGTAGCTGGCCGAGTGCTTTCTTAACTCCCGATTGCATCCACATCTCAGTAGCCACACGGCAGAAATCATCAAGCAATTCTCTTGCAACAGATGCGGAATTTATGGATCAACAGTTCAGACCGCCGACCATTTTAGCTGTTCTCGGAATCAGATTAGGGAACTAATAGAGAGGCACGTGCGACTGGAGAGTCATATGCCTTTATTGTCTTGTTTAAGCTTCATATCTCAGACCTCAAGGTCAGCGGCAGTGTAAAGTAGCTACCTTTGTGTCCAGATCCCACGATCACGTCAAGAGTCTGCCTTGTGAATGTCTCGCTCTGTAGTTGTTCAAAAAGTTAGATGTCAAAATCCCCATTTCCATTGCTGGGATATCTTTTGATAAACGTGCTATTTGAGCCTGAAGCAAAACAGCTTTCTCACTGATTGCAGACTGAGGACAGCAGAATAATTTTTCAAAAGCTTTTCTGAACTCCGTGATCCTCAAGGAGTAAACGAAAACATTTGCACAAGAGTTTCCATAGTGTAGCAGTTTCGTGAAATAAATTAGTGTCAGGTTCACTGAAAACGGATGAACTTGGTTCACGATATTTATAATCGTAAACGGAAGCCACGAGGATAGGGAAATTAGCGTGACAATCAGTAATGTAATAGTTAGTCGTCGCTCTTGTAAAGCTGCGTTACGGAAGTGAGATGATACGTGGCGATTGCTCACGTGAATCCAGATGACCAAATTTGTAGATAAAACTGTTACACAGCACACAGAGAGAATAACAACAGAACTGTAAAAGAGGAATCTCAGGGAAGGTGAAGTGTGACTTGTAAGAAGTCCAGCTGCTGTTGCCGCGATAGCTATGAACCACACCAACAGAATTCCTGACGCGTAGAATCGTGTTTTTATTACTCTGTGACGCAGAGGCCACAGGGTAGCGCATAACCTTTCTAATGATACTAAGGTAAGCGACAGAATCGACGCAAGCCCTGAAATAACATCTAATGCTTTGTAGGCAGACACAGGAGTCCCAAAATTTACGGGCCACAGCTGACCCAATCCACCAATAAGGTACACGAAAATAGGGATGGCGCATGCCCCAACTAGCATATCCGCGGCTGCCAGGTTTATCAGTAGATAGGAACTGCGCCTGTGTAGCTGGCCAGTGTCAGCAAATTTTAATATCGAGAAAAGGTTACCAGCGACGATCGCAAGAGCTTCGGTTGAGAAGAGCACGGACCAGACTATTGCTTCACTTTTTGATAGCATGCTCTTAATTTTAATTAGACAGCAACACTGGGGTTCCTATCCTGAAAAAAAAAAACAAAACAAAGAAAAAATATGTGAATTCCTCTTCATTGGTGAAAGAAAACTGCTTGAAGACCAACATTTATTCCTGTAGCAGAGTCACTCCGTGACCTCAGTGTAAATCATTCAATATTGGCATCAGAGCGGGGCAGAGGCGGGAAACGACTCTAATATTTTCTTTGTGTTCTTTAAGTCAAAAACACTTGACGGTGTAAATACTAATTTTTCAAAATGCTATAAGTAAGTAAGTAAGTAAGTAAGTAAGTAAGTAAGTAAGTAAGAAAAACCTTTATTTAAGTGTCTATGTGTAAATTCCAGTTTTTGCGAATTAAAAAGAGAATGTTTCCAACGAGGTGCAGATCCTAGTTTCATTTCAAGAGTGATGGTTAAAGTTAGATTAGAATGATAATTATTCAGCAATCTCATATGATTGGATAAAAGTACATAACAAGTCCTTACTTTGCAGTTAAATTATGTAATTATTATTATCATTCTAAGCCGAAAATGAATGCGTCGTACATAATTACCAATTACCCACAAAAAAAAACAAATACATTGCCGTAACATTACGAAAGTAACGACCCCCGAAAGTGGCGACATCCGAAAGTAATGTCAAAACGTTGTGGCCGTTAATAAGTCCTGAAAGCAGGGACATCCCCCCTCCCCCAGAAAGCTCCAGCTCCCTCACCGAAAATAGCGTGACAAGGTTTTATAGTATATTTATAAACAATCAATTATGAAGTGAAAATTAAGTACGGTAAACTGATGAAAAAAGTTTAAGGCGTTCTACATCAAGGGAAGGTATCGCTTATGTTATTGTCATTGAACGCAATGTTCCCCACGGAACTAACATTCCGGGCGAAACTTATCCTTTAAAACTATAAGTAAAACAAAAACTCAGGTGTCACAAAACCATTCCATTTTCTAAGTAATTTGTAATTAAATAAATGTGTGTAAAAAAGACTGTTGCGTTCCCACAGTGAATGGTGTGGTCCTTTGTTGTTCGTCTCATTTCATTTTCTAGGTGAGGGTAGTTCTGGCGAGAACTGTGTTGGTGGCTGACGTTTTAACAACCTGCCATAAGTCGTTTTTAGATTGCATAGTCAGATCATTTTTCTCAACCGATAACATAGTTAGAATAAAATAAAAAATTCTTTTTATAATTATATAAAAATGTTCAACGTAAACATATTGCGATGATAGTGTAAAAACTGGAAGGCAAAAAACTTTGTCACTGGACTACGAAGATGATTACAGCCTCGGTTGCGAAAACTTCCTTCTGTAACGATTCAACGGTTCTTTTCAGGACTGCTGTCGCCCGGACGATCACACCATACCAACTATATCTATAGCTGTAGTATGTACGCCCTTATCTTGGACATTTCAAATCCATGAATTACATGAATTTTTCTTGGTAAGCATTTCGTTGCTGGACAACTGGATTGCCCATACCGCTGTCACTCGACACAGATATCTTTACCCCTGGGTCAGCCAAATACTTCCTATGATACACCAGGACTGCAATTTCTTGCACGAGAACGAAATTGATCGCTGACTACGTTGGAGATTTACATAAGGCGCTTATAACTCACGTCTGGAAGGGTTATTGTGCAAAGTTGAAGACAGTTAACAGTGAATTCTTCTATACCTCAGCTTGAAGAAAACAATGCCATGTTGTGATGAAAATAAAGTTATGCTACTAATTTAGTTTCGCAGTGAGAGATATTTGTCTTTTGTCGAGAAACGATTGAAATTTTAGCGATGGCAAAGAGATTTTAATTTAAAAACTGTGGGGAATATTTCCAACGAATTAAAGATACTTCTGTGGTCTTCTTTCCCGGGCGAAAGAAACACATATAGCATAGCTATAAGTAGAAAAAAATAAATCACCTTCTCATTCATCAACCGAAGTTACTCTCGTAATGCGAGATCTACAAACTTATTGTGAGCATTTAAAGAGTGATTTTATGTTTGGTACAGTATAGATAACAGTAAAAAGTTAATATAGTATCAATATTAATTTCGGGTTAGATTCATGAACTTTGGTTGACCAAAATTTGAATTATAGAATATTCGAAAGAAACTGCTAGAGATTTTGCATCCTTACCATTTTCACTTATCTGGTAAGATTTCATTTGTATTCCAGACATGAAAATACTCTTTGGCAAGAGAAAAAAGGTACCAGGTGCGAATATGACGCGATCCCTTTTTTGTATCTTGATGTTACACGTTATTGCGAGGAAATAAGTTTTTCTCACATCTCGAGTTTCGCTTACCAAGATTTTTCTTGATCCCGTCAGATGAATTCTGCCAGACACGTTCAAAACATCATTGGTGAAGCAAAGGGAGACATAAACATTATGTGAGTGTTATCTCAAAAATGCAAATTAATGTTGTGATAGCCGCAGGAGTCCAAGGTGATTTTAACAAGCTTGGAAGCAAGGAAAAATGAAAACAATTAAAACTCGTTAGACAAAGACGTTCTTCAATTTCGAGTCCTGAATAACCAATAGTTGAAGGTTATAAAGTAAATTCTTTGACTGAAATTAAAGATAAATAGATTGAGATGAAAGAAAAAAAATGACAATGCCAAGAGTCTTCAATCATAGATTTCAATTTGAAAACTTAGACAATTTCCTGTTGATAACGTACGATTCACAGAACTGATAAAAATGGCAAAGGTTTTAAAAAATTGCTTCGCTCAACGTTCACCTCACCTCAATCAACCAACATCAATTTCATGGTCGATTTTCCAAGCTACTTATGTCGATTACGCATCAAAGCAATATAACAGAGGACTATAGTTGCTATTTTCACCATCTGCTCTTCTGGTATAAGCTAAGAACATTTGCTTGAGAATAAATACATTTGAAAGCAATTACAGAAATGTTTACAATTTGATTGGCTATCAATGGATCTGTTTGCTTGAAAGCCAAGGAGTAATGACAAAAGAACCATTGAGAATCCCGAAACTCATTTCCTTCATTTCGTAAATCAGTATTGTTTTTTCTCTGCAATCTAGCGTCAATTGTTCATTTTTGCCTTGAATTAAGGAATTGTCATGTGCTTAAATTGATCCATCACTGAATTTCATTTGGATCGCCACGCTAATGACGACACTAAATGGGTTATTCCGGAAGTTAGTTCAATTTTTACATGGAATTCTTTTTGTAGCATTACGACCAAATTCTGTTGCAAGGTGTGTTCAGGGTGATATCAACGTTAAGTGTTCGTAGTTTTCCTGAATTCAGTAATATCAACACGTTTCCAGCTAGAAATCTTATCGATGAGAACCGAACAGCTTAATAGAATGCC